AACAAACATGCAGGAGAATTACATTTAATAGGAACTAAAAAACTATGTTAACCTCTCAACTTGTTTTTGTATGGATAAGAGTAGACATGAGGTATACTTCAATGAGACAGCAACCAAACAACACACATAACCAAAAAAACATCAAAATGCTAAAGGGTCTCGTCGGCCGAGTGGGCTATGAGTATAATAGTAATAACTAGTATCTACAAAAGAAGAAATTTCGTATTGTTGGATCCTTATAATAAGCTAAACTCAATTTAGTTAAAAAAACACACCTCTCACTTTGTTATCTTTTAAATCTGAGAAAAGAACATTTATCATTAGTTAAATATTTCATATCAGACAATCCTGTTATTAATGTAACAGATAGCCATGCAGAAATATTGTATTAATTCTAAACTGTATCAGTTGTTATGTAATATAATTATCATACAATGTATTTAAACTTTTGTTGAATTTCTTTTAATATTGTTTTAATTGACTTTATGTAACTGTTTTTTTGTGACACCAGGTACTGTCTGGTGAACTTTTATTGTACATATTTGAATAAAATGTTATCAAGAGAAAAAAGTAATTCATCTTATGTATAACTAACTAGCCTGTCATCACTGAGGTTGTGAGTTCGAACCCCGCACGTGGCAGGTGCGTTCGACTTCAATTTTAAATTGTCTAGGCTTGTCATTGTTTTTTCTGCTGAAGGTTGGTCGTTCTCTCCTAGTATGCCATATTCCTCTACCAATAAAAACTGACCGCCACGATATAACCAATAGTACTTCGGGCGGCGTTACAAACTAACAATTAATAAATCATCTAGGGGCCAATATACAGTCTTCAACAACAGACATGTGTCTGCACACTATGTTAAACTCTTAGTAGTAAACTCTATAAAAGTTGGAAATGACAAAATATGAAATAATTCAAACGAAAATATCAACGGCCGAATTCATGATAAACAATATACGAAACACAAGTATGACTGTCAGCAACTAACAACAACCACTCCAATAACAGGTTCCCGAATCATGACACTCACATCTGAGTGTAGAAGGGTTAAACATGTTTTTGAGCGCTCAATCCTTCCTTAACATTGGACAATGGTGTAATAGCACAATATAAGAACAAACTGTTACACACAGTAAAAAAAACAACTGAAAATGGTTTGACTCATCAGATTAACAGGAAGCACACAAAACTTCTTACATAAAGACAAGAGTCATCCAAGTATAATTTCATTTTTAAATGTGTTACCGTATTTACAGTCTTATTTGCTAATTAATCAAAAATGCAAGTTCATGAATTGCCATTAAAGCAAAAAGATGAAATAACTTTCGCTCTGTACCGAAACAATGAACAATTGTAAAAAAAACCCACTATAGTTCAGATTATAGATAAGTAAATGTGGATTTACGTTTAGTCGCTTGTGTCTACGACAAGACTGCGAGAGTATCCATTAGAAATTCCACAAGTAATTGCTCTGTGTTAAGGGAGATTACTCTTTACGTCAGTAATGCGATTGTAATGTGCGTTTTCATCAATGATTTTTAAGCACTCGTGTGAAAGAGATTAGAATTAGAATAAATCTGTGTTCTAAAAGCTTAACATATATTGAAAAAGTGGTTATTGCAATCGTCAATCTTTCCCAAGACTATGCATTTTCAATGGTTTTTTTTTATATTGCATGTGATGTTTACACATATTACATTACAAGACATTGGTTAACCAGCAGAGAAGCCACAGAACATTTTACAAATTTCTTTTGTCATCTTTAGATAACATGACATGATAGTGTCCTGTATATTACGTTTTATAATCATGTATTATACATACAATTAAAGCTGGTATTCACTAGAAAATATCAAATGTATTCATCTAATGTTCTAAAAATTCTTTCTTTCAATTTTTAAAAATGTTTCTTAACCACTGATGTACATCAACATTTCTTTTTTGTTGCAAGATGTGTTGTTAACTTTGATAAAAAATTCATGCAGAGATCCGAACATGGTCTGATTTATCTGATAACTAAAGAGTGTCTACTTCTTGAGTTCTTGTTGGTATTATTCGCTGTAAATTTTATTTACAAATAAGAAGATGTTCTAATAATACAATTATCCACCAGATACCAACCGACGAAAATAATTACATTAAATGAACGAAATACTTAACAAAAAAAAGCAAATAACTGTTATTAAATCTTAAGTTTAGACTTCAAGTAGCTGGTAGATTTGCATTTTTTCGGAGAAAAAAAAACTCCTTAGCTCGTAGATAATGATGATCCATGCACAACATAATTTCTGAAATAACTTTCAACATGCATTCTTGACACAAAGAGATTCGATTCCAAAAAATGTATTTAACATTGTAACTTAATTTTCCTTTTTATCTTAACTTTGTCTGAAGACAAGATAACAACGAAGAAACAGTTGTTCAAATAATTAATTCATCAAGTGCTTATTTAATACATATAGTTTGCGTTTCGTAATACATGTAAAAGTAAAACCATAATTAAAATTTATTGCTTTAATTTGTATTCTAATGAAGAAAACTCAAGTTACACCTACGAGAAAAACGTTCCTTATTTTACAATAACCGGATGCGTCTTGTAGTTATAATAAAAAAATAATCAATCTTGCAACTATATCAGACATTGGGTTCCTAGGTTATTTACATGTAAACTTTTGATAAAACTTTAAGCATAATGACTTATTTGGTTGTTGTTTTTTTTTATTGTTTTTTGCATGAACAGAAAGCCGTACGGTGGCTTATATTTGTTTAAGTTATCGCCTTTTGGTCTCTTGTGGATATATAGTTAACTGTCTTAGTGGCAATCATATTATATTTTCAGATTTTTTTTAATTTTTCTTATCATATTTATCTTCAAAAATAAAGTGTACAGAAAGACACAGATAGTCCAGATCCTGGCCTCAAACCAAAATTGCCAGCGAAAATGAAAACCTGTCGAGTTTGAACCCTGCGTAAAGTAAAAATCGGTCTATACTGAACCCTGAGTTGAATGAGAGCTTGACGTAACCCTTTGTCAACTGGAACACTGATTAAACTGATTTTATATCAGAACATACAGATGAAAGTATTTAGGAATTTAAAATATATAAACTGTTCAATTTTAAGCCCTTAACCAACCCCCTCCCCCCCTAAAAAAAAAAAACAAAAAATAAAACAAAAAAAAACAAAAAAAAATAAAACAAAAAACATAAGACAAAAAAATAATACAAAAAAAAACCCACAAAAAATGAAAACAACAAAAACAAAACAAAAAGCAATCGCCATACTACCCAAAAGAAGTAAAAAGTAAAAAAAAAAAATATGAAACGTCTGAAGCTCACGATACATTTTTAACCTTTATCGATACCAAAAGTTTTGATATCTAAAATATTATACCGGCGTAAATATATATAGAATATTTAAATAAGGATTTCAGGCTCCTGACATGGATCAAGCCTATAGGGAACGTTGTGGATTAAACATGTTTGTGAAAGAGCGCTCAACCTTCTCAAAATCTGTGATAGTGGTGTAGCAACACAACATAGTAACAAACTGCCAAACTCAGTTGGATAAGGTTTGACCCAATAAATTGGTGCTAAGCATAAAAGACAAAAGAAACAGAGTACTTATCTAAGAGAACTTGCATTTACAACATCAAGTTAAGGGGCCGTAAGAACACTCAAGGTACTTAACTCTTTAAAAGTCAGCTGAACGTATAATCACATATATTATCATGCAGTTATATTTCATGTGATCAAAATGAGTGTTTTTAAAACTGCTATTTATACAATGAAATTTCTGTAAATTGTGTGGTTAAAATTTCTTGAATTTTTTATATTTTTGTCAGCAGGTCAAAGTAAATCTGTTTTAGTCAAAGTGTTAAGTACTCCCTCAAAAGCCCAATTTCTATATATTTTACAGTTATGGAACTTAAGTCGATATGTAGCGAGACAGTTTATGCTTTACTTTAATTCACTTCATACCAAGATGCATAAACTAATGAAAGAGTTCTCATCGCAGTCGATAATCACAATATCATAACTATAAGTTTACAATTTTGGCTTCTCTTTATTCAAATACAGTAACCACAATGTGAATGCTTTCTGAAAGATTGTAAAGGAGATTTTTCGATTATATGATCTTTAATGTTGTTTTGCTGAATGCAATATGATTGCATTTTTTTATCTAACATATTCACGGGCATACAAGTAGATGACTATACGGTATATATAACATTAACGGTACCAATTGTTCTACAATAAATCTCTCTTCAATCAATCTTGGAGTCAAAATACTTGAAAATCCAAAACTTATCAAAAAAATGAAGAGATTATAAACCAAAATGGACACAAAGTATAGTCTAACCGAGCATGGAAGCAGAGCTTTGCATAAGGGAGATATATTCCTTAATTTAAAATAATTTTCCAAAATTTTAATAACACAATATCCGTATTTTCATGCCAGTTACGAAGTACTAGCTACCTTGCTGGTGATACCCTTGGGGACTAACAGTCCTCCAGCAGAGGTATCGGTATGGGTTTTGCTCATTTTTAAAGCAGTACGGTGATATATAGTGGCTTTAGTTTACATCCACTTCATATGAACTCTCGTCGATAGTTGTCTCATTAACAATCATACTACATAGAAATAAGAAGATGTGGTATGAGTGCCAATGAGACAACTCTCCATCCAAGTCAAAATGTGTAAAAAGTAAACCATTATAGGTCAAAGTACGGCCTTCAACACGGAGCATGGCTCACACCGAACAGCAAGGTATGAAGGGCCCCACAATGACTAGTGTAACACAATTCAAACAGGAAAACCAACGGTCTAATATATATAAAAAACGAGAAACGAGAAACACTTAAGAACCACATCAACAAACGACAACCACTGAAACAGGTACATCTCCTTATGTCTATACTGGAGAATACTGTTTTTATCTTTTGCATCGTCATCTATAATAGAAATTCTAAAAAGCAAAAATAAGAAACAACATGTTTGCTTTTGTATTTTTATTCAAAACGGCATTAATGTCTGGTTATGATTACCATGAGGAGTAACAAAAACAGAAATCAAATATCATAAGTAACAAATTAGATATCACAGTCATAAAATCAATTTTTCGCGCCTTTTTCCTGACTTTGAGACTGTCTCAAAATATGCCAAATTGCTTTTGAAATATTTTTTGCAACTTTTAAAATATACCGTTGAAAGTTGATTATCTTTTTGAAGATCAACATATTATTTTGTATTCTTGGCTACTCAAACTCATATATAGGTATAACGAATTTTCTACTTGAAATGGAACCCGAGAATAAACTTGTAAGAACGTACCGAATAAACTCTTTCACGCTCATTTTTGGTATCATTGGCGAAAGTATCACCATAAGATCCGGTCTGTAACCAGATAATTAACTTACAATGGTATATGTATAGATTTTTTATTAGATTTTTTTTACTATTTTTCTTTTTTGATAAAATATATATCAAGGAATATCACATGTAATGATTTAAAGTAAATTTTGTTCGTACATTTTGAAACAGTCCCTGAATGAATTTAATTGAAATCAGCAAAGTCAGCAAGTGTTTCCTTTTACTACAAAGCGAGTGAAATTCTAAACATAAGAGTAGAAAAATAAAAAAAGATATTGTTTATCATATTATTGGTTTGAACATCAAATGCATGTACACTTAAATTCAGATAAATAGCATGACAGTTCAAAATAGTAATTTGCATGTAACATAACACACTCAAAGAACCGAACAAGATTGATTTAATATTCTATATGAGGGTATGGATGGGGGAGAGGGTCTTAATTTCTCTGCTCTTTATTTTTTGTATATAATCATAATTATATTCTTTATATTCTTGCACCCCGTTATAACCTATTCTTAAATTTTTCATTTATTCTATATTTAATTAGCCTTTTGATCTCCATTATGTAAACCCCATCCAGACCCTCCTATACGACCTTAATAACTAATACATAAAATTACTAATTGTCTTAGTATAATTGAGAGACAATTAAAGTCGTGATTTTAATGGGACAAATATAGATATTATTGTTAAGTAATATATCATTAAACAGTGCTTTGTTCTTTGTTCAAGCTAACATGGAGGTATTTTATATTCGCTAACACCGATTTCCTCCCTCCCCTTAAAAAATAAGATGAAATGAAGAAATAAAAAATAAAAGATAGAAATATGGATGTACTCGGACCTCACAGGTTAGAAACAAGAAAGAATGTCCGTGGAAACAAAACAATAGGTTTTCTAATGGTTAATTTGCCTGTAATTTCAGGAAGACTTTAGTTCAGTTTAAAGTATCACATTTTAACTAAATTTGTTAATTGAGTATTTTGTGATAAACTACCCGCTGACAAAAACTATTTTTGACAAAGATCGTGCTGTTGTGTCAAGTCAGTCAAAATATTGCTGATTAAGCCTATTTTAAAGATCTGACAAATCTGATGTAGTACGCCAGAGTCAAAATAGTCATCAAGCTAACATTTTTGAAAGCCGTATTTAAGCAGGGCCAATTTTTATCCCAAATTATAAAAGTTTATGACCTATGATAAAAACAGTATTCTGTAGTGAAATATTTTTAAACAGCCATGTTTATTATATAATAAGAGAAAGTTAGATCGATTAAGATCAGGTAGAAAAAACAATCGAAAGTATGTTTTATTTTATACTACAAAACTTGATCCTGCACAGTTGAAGTCCATATTACCAAATCATCTGCAAGAGAAACACTTTTTTAAATTTTTGATTTAGAATATGTACTAATTAACAAATTTGAAAATAGTGTAAGTATACCCAAAACACTACAGACAGGAAAAACAGTTACACACACTTTTCCTCTACTTGTATACCCAAAGAAAAATTAATTTTAGTGATGATGAATTTGATTATTATATAATAACGCTATCGTGGTGAAGTGACAGATATTAATGTAGTTTAAGGAATGAAAACTATGCATACATTCCGTAACAAAAAAATGGGTGGAAAATGAAAACAATCAATATAAATATCATACATTAACATACACACGTGCTACACATACACACATGATTAAACACACATATTTGTAAAACAATTGTAATCAAATGATACACAATAATACTGATAATTGATCAAATTATTTTAACTGAGACCAAATAGGTCTGATACACATTTCATTTGAAAAAGAGCGGGAAACTTTCGCCCCTTGTCTCAACCAAAACTTGAAAGTGAACCATAAAAACTAAACATTAATTTCGTGTACCCTGGTGATATCTATTAGCAAGGATTGCTGTTATTCAACTTCCAAAAGTTTGTATATTTCTACCATGAAAATCCAGGGAGGCATGGTAATTTTAACCAAAATCATAACAGGTTCAAATCTACACCATCTTTCGAGGATAGTACTATCTTAATCTAGTGAATTACTTAAGATAAAAATTCTTAGTACAAAAAAGGAATCATAATTGAAAAATCCCCCAAATAGCAACAAAAAGCGCAAATGCTTTCACAAAATTGTTTTAGCAAGCATTGCATATATTTTGGAATATACTTTGTTGAGACATGCATTCCTTTTGCAAACAAAACGCTATCTATTAATGATAGATTTACCGGTATATTAAACTTTAATCATATGTAAATGCAATGCGGTCGTGCATGAATAACCGGCATCCGAGCAGAAACTTTCTGCTTTATGTAAAACATTTTTTTTATCTTTTGAAAATAATAATTAGCACACGTGCTAACGTGTGTCATTTAAAGCTTTCACCTTTGACACGACCATCTAATTTATCAAATTCGATGAAAAATATATGTTTTATTTACCTTGAATAAAATATGTGATCAATAATTATCAATGCCAATTATATTTTTTTTTCTAATGAAATATCAAATGGAATGCATATATAAACGAGAAAAAAAATGTGCATTATAATGATATTTGGATGGAAAAAAACTAAGAAGCAAAGATGAATACAAAGAGAATATCATAATATAAGTTAAGATGATTGTCTTTTTACTTTTCACGCTGACAAAAGCCCAGAAGAGTGTTTGATATCTCTCTCAGTTGACTATTCATCCTAAAGGTAATACCACTCGTGTTAACATTATGCTGTTCCTTATTCATTTCCACGAGTCTAGCGGTTGCTGCCTCATGCCAAGCTTCGGGTAGAACAACACAATCTGATCATTCAACGATACAAATACAATCTACCGACAGACAATAAGGGACTAAGGATCTAAGCGTTCAGACACGTTCATTCCATTCTAATACCGTATCCATGTTAGTAAAGTGCAACAATAACTTCCGGTTTGACTTCCGGTTCGAGTCTACAGTCGAGTGTTCATTTCCTACAATGCAAAAATGTGTTCGGTTAGTAAGCATTCATATAGTGACCAGTATAATTTTTGTAAAGTATCAAAATTTAAATCTGATGGATCAAAATAAATTTCAATGTCGAAAATTTACATTGTAAAATTGGCTCACTATAATAGTGCACGATTTTTAATTTGACAATGGCCCAAAGCACAGCTAGTTAAATTCACATCACGAGCAAGAAAGGCGTTAAATAACACATAAAATATTACATGCACATGTAAGCTTGACCTGTAATAAAATATTAAAGCAAAATGAATAGCATGCAAACATCTGTGTTAAAAATTAATCTTTGTGAACGCGGATACTTTAATTTATAAGTTCATAACTTTGAACCAACCTCTTCATTCATTTCCCGCTCAATTTCACTATAATTAGGAGGGACGTCTTCTGCATCTTCAGTAAATGCTGGGTTATCTTTCACTAAATTTTCAACACTTCCTCTACACGGGAAAGCGATCGCAGAAACACTGCTACCGGTTGATATAGTCCGTGCTAAACTGTAGCAATCACTACTAAAATTACTAAAATTACTATTTGGACGGCTGTTCATATCTAATGCAGAATCCTCTTCATCAGACGTATCATTTGAAGCTGCCTCCTTAGTTAAATCAGCTGAACTTGTCATTGAGCCAAGGAGACCCACTGACGCCAGTCTTGTTAAAACTGGAAGTAAGCTGCTGCGCCGTCGTTTACCTTGAATAAATAGAAAAAATACATTGAGTGAACAATTGACCTTTTTTTTTAAATAGCTGTGGTATACGTGATCTGTTTTTGAAATTATTTAGTTTCTACAAATGAATTTTTCGTACCGTCTTTTATCAAAATTAAAAAAAATAAGTGCCTTTTCAAAATATCTTTGAAAAAAATGACAGGTAGAAATGTACTATAGACAACGAAATAAAAATAGTGTTTTTCTGAAGGTCAAAAACATACCTTCAGGAGCACATGTCTGAATTTCTTTTTCAGAAGCACCTCTTCGTCTACATAAACTCTGTAATTGACGCATTTCCATCTAAAAAAATAAAAATTCATAACTTCAGAAAACTTGAAAGATGTATTGATATAAATGAAATAATAGGAACGATAATACTTAAGTATTATATCGTAGCCACATGTAAACATGTAAAACGAGAGGTCAAGCGACCCTTAATTCTACTCGCTCTATATTAAAAAGACAAATATTATAATTTACATGTTTAAATGATATTAACAAATATATTTTATATCTATAAAAACATGAAAAGTTTGGTTACTTATATATGATGTACATTTATGACAAACGTCTACTTTTATGTTAAACTAGTATATTCTACACCAGAAAAATTAATTACTTTTTTATTGCTTTAGCCTTTGGCAAACATAACACATATTAATAAGACATAAAATAATAAGTAAATGTCTTAGATATATCATGTTAAACATTGTAATATATATAAGATATTGTCAAGTTATTTTCGTATGAATTATACAAACATTGGCATACCAAATACACTAATTATCGGCTGACCTTGAACTAACCATATAAGAATAAATACTCAATTTACATATTGTTTATTTTTCGCTGAATATGTATTTGTTTCACGCAAAGCGGATTTTGCTAGGCCCATCAACGTTTCAATGATAAGATTTTTATCACAATGAGACGTGGTTTTAGATTGGATTATGACTATAAATAAGGATTTTGTAACGAACATAAAATGATTTATTTAATTTAAATGAAGTTATATGAAAGAAGAACAATGTCTCAGGTTAGGGGAGGGTTGGCGCGCATTCAAACTAGTTTAACCCGGCCACATTCTGTATGTGCCTGTCCCAAGTCAGGAGACTGTAATTCAGTGATTGTCGTTTGTTGCTGTATATCATATTTGTTTTTCGTTCATTATTTTGTACATAATTCAGGCCGTTAGTTTTCTCTTTTGAATTGTTTTACATTTGTCATTTCGGGGCCTTTTATAGCTGACTTTGCGGTACTGGATTTACTCATTGTTGAAGGCCTATAGTTGTTAATTTCTGTGTCATTTGGTCTCTTGCAGAGAGTTGACTCATTGGAAATCATAACACATCTTCTTCTTTTTATATACACAAAACTTGTCAATTATTTTTTTATTGTCATTTATATGCATGAAATGTTTGCCACTGGACGTTTAAGCAAACAGCTATCAATCAAATACTCTTAATTACTTAAACATTTAATTGTGATATCAAGTTAATCCCTCTATTTTACTTGCGAATCATTTACTTAAAATTTGCAGAACTTATTTTAAATTCATCATACTTTTTTTTTGTAAACTTTCTGACTTAACTAATGTCCCTTCCAATCTTCTTCCAATCAATTACAATAATTGTTAAATTTGAACAAGTTAATTTTAGAATTATAATACAGGCCAATGTCTGTTTAATAAAACTTGAAAGGATAATTTTATCAACAAAAAAAAATAGAATTCATAGAAAACACTATTATGAAATATGCAAATGTTGATCATTTTAAACATTTTTTGATAAAAAAAAAAAAAAACCAAAACCCTTAACTCTTGATCTGTATTAAAGTGACGCAGGTTGATTCAACAATTTATTTAATTAACTAAATTTAATTAAGCACACATGCGCAGTATCCTTTAGGGATGACATATATTTACAATCATGGACACCATATAGGTCAGATCAATTTGCACAAGGTATTCGTCAAAGCAATGAAAGTGATATTAACCTAAATGTCAAAGCTATTTAATTAAAACTTTTTTCTATATGACTCATCATGTCAAATTCTTTTCATTTGTGTTTTTAATTAATTATGGTCTAGTCTAGAAATAGATATGATTACGTTGATAAACGTAGAATATACATGCATTGAAGAAATGAATAACTTTATTATGACCCTAAATACCGATTTTGTAACTAACATTAAATGACCTCATATGTTTAATAAACGTCCAGTTGCAAATATTTCATGCATATCTAGGACAATCCTATAATTTCAATATTTATGTAGTTTGGAAAATAACAAAAATGAAAGAAAAACTTACTCTATATAATTCTACTTTCATTTTCATATCACTTGCTCTTTTGACTGAGCCTCTATATTGCTGTTTTATGATTTTTAGCTGAACTTGATCTTTTTCTTGTATTACCATTACAAAACCTGGAATAAATCAATAGATAATAAAATATCTTATCACTACGAATGATACTTATGCAAGAGGGTCTGGATGGGGTTCTTCATTTGTTTATTCTTGAATCTTTTAGACCATAGTTTTCTCCTCTCTATCTATTTTGCCCATTTTCTCTATTCTTTATTTGTTTTGCCTGTTTTCTCCTTTTTCTCCTTTATTCTGCACTTTTTGCCCATAATTCTCTATTCTGTTAACCCTCTCAGACCCCCACAGAAGCAATAAACAGAAACAGCCTTGTCTATTGATGAGAATATATTGGTAATTCATTTTAAATGAGAAAAAAACTTGTTCTGCAACATTTTACTTGCGATAAATGTAACATTTGGTGATTATCTCAACTGGTGTAAATAAAAACTTCACCTACATGTATATGTTAGTCACCCTTTCAAAGAATATTTTACCGTATTTACAGCATCAAGCAATTGTTTTAGAACTCCAAAGAATGCATAGAACGATTATACACATTGATGCGAAACATTTCGGCCCAAAGAAATATGTGAGGTCTATTTTCAAAAGCCCTTACAATGTATTTAGTTAATTGTCTTTCACGAAAACTAATCTGAAATCATGTTCTTTCAAAATGAAAAAAAAAAAAAAATTAATCAACGTTTCAGAAACAAAAAAAAAAAACTCGCTTTATTATGTATACATTTAAGTGATTTAAGAAACATTTGCAATGCATTTTGTAAAATATATAAAAAGTCAAATTTAGTAAACTGCTACAAAACAATTATGTGATTTCATATCTTATTTGATATGACAATTGAATAAATTATTAACACTCAGCATATTTGGCGTCGTACTTCTACACAGGTGAAGGAAAGTAATTACTGTCAAACAGGAGTTAAAAGTATAAAGACTGTTGGATGATTTCCAGTAGTGTGATTCATTTAAAAAGTAAAGCAGACATATTCAAACTATAAGGACAGTAACACCCAACATTGTACTTTTAATAAAAATGAGACATTTTATTTGAGGGGGTGCCACGAGGGTGTTCATTTCTTAAATCCCGCTTTTTTGTAATTTTTTCCCCACTTCCCACTTTTTTTCTGTCAATTTACCCCAGATCACACTTTTTTATCCCCTATATCCAACATTCCCACTTTTTAACCACCTACATATATCCCATATCCCAACTTTTTTAATCCTCTATATCGTGTCACCCCTATAATATTTTTCTATTCTTGTTGCCGTATTATTTCTAGACAAATTTGCAAATAATAGGAATGTGCTGAATATGCATGAAATATTTGCTACTGGACGTGAATTAAACAACAATGAATCGCTTTCAATGTAATATCTGATATCTAACCTCTAATGAAATTGAGAATGGAAACGGGGAATGCGTCTAAGAGACAACAACCCGACCAAAGAGCAAGAACACAGTCCAAGGCCACCAATGGGTCTTCAAGACAGCGAGAAAATCCCGCACCCGGAGGCGAGCTTCAGCTGGTCCCTGAACTGAATACTTAGTCCTTCTTTAAGATAAGGAGATGTAGTAGTATAGCATGCTAACGAGACAACGTTCTATCAAAGGACAAGGATGAAAGCAAATACAGGTCGATGAAGGGTCTTCAACAATGAGCAATACTTATACCGTATAGTAAGCTATAAAATGCCATTGTTTTGCATTTATTAATTTCATGTATGATGATATTCTAATATTATAAGGTTTGCTACATGTAATGCATTTTTCATATCATATTCTTTTCATAGAAAAAAATGAACCAGCACTGGCGAAAAAAATTATAGAGAGGTTTTGAAAACTTTACTTTTGAATTATTTAGAATTATATCTTTAAACTTTAAATTTGTAGAAAATGTGAAAACAAAAAAGAAATAACATAAAGGCTAGACAGACAAAAGATGTGCATGTTGCTTACGGTACGTACTAGTATACCAATTAATGGTAAATTATCCATTTGAATGCGAACACCATGTAAATAATGTAAACATGACAAGTGTCGCAAATGTCACTTTTAGTGTATTCTATAAGAAAAGTGGTTAAAGAATTACTTTTGTCTAGTAAACGAGGTGAGTAATGCACGTATTTAGTAAAACTATCGGATGACATGTAGCCACTGGCCATTGGATAAAATGTATAAAAAAAAATCAAATGTACTTGTTGACAAAGGTCATTAACATCATTTCAAAATAATACTGTTTCTCTTTTATCTCATAAAACGTCTATCAAAAACATTGAATTGTATGATACTTTTCAATTAAACACCTCAAAGATGTGGTTTCGTTATAAGTGTATAAAAGTGGAAATAATATATGAAGTGCAAAATGGCTTAAAATGCATTCTGCTTTAAATCTAAATTTACACTTAGATAAAAACTCTTCCACATTTAACAAATCATAAGGTATCACCAGAACGGAAAATGAAATCCTTAAAATTGAATGGATTCAATGAAGTGTATCCATATCCACGAATGTATGTATGAACTTATAATTCATCATCGAAACAAAATATAAACTGTAATATTTCGTCTCTATAACATTCACCATAAAAATAATTTGAATTTCTATGAAATCCTTTATAAAGATATTAATACAGTGAAATACGTTCTTATTACTTTTCTAATCCAAAGTTACATATAGTTTAGTTCAATCTCTTTTATCACAATACAATGACTGTGCAATTTCTTGCTCTTTATCACCATACAATGACTAGAAGTTTGCAATTTCTTGAGACCATGTGTTTCTTACTTACTGTTTACAATCCTGACTAGTCTCCAGGGAAGAATGATTGTCATTATTCTGGCTGCTTCCGTTTCGGGATGCGCCCATAATCCTTCCCAGAATGCAACATCAAGAATCCAAGAAACTAATACCACAAACGCATCGAAAACCTAAAATGCAAAAATGATGAACCGTTATGATAGTTACTACATTTGATTTTGTATACTTCAATATTGACAAATGAGTTGCTCTGATTTCATATTATTTAGATTTCATGCGATACTAGTTGAATATCGTAAATTCAGTATTATCATTATAAATCGAATGTACATCTGAATAAAATTATAACATGGGCAATTAAATGTAAGCAGTAAAAAATTATTAAAAAAAACTACCGAATTCCAAAGTTTGAACAAGGGGAAGTGCTAAAAACCTGACAAAATAAATCGTTAGACTCTATCAACCAAAGGAACAAATGGAAAACAATGTCATATTCCTGAGCATCTATTATAGGACTTTTGAAAAGAAAATGATGGTTAAAACTGATGGTTTTATAGCTAGGCAAACCTCTCACTTGTATGACAGTTGTTATTATTTCCGCGATAGTTAAAGCAAACGTGCCTTTATGATTGAATGACGTCCACATTTTCATATAAAACTATGTAATTACCTCTATTTTATGGTTCAGAAACTTCTTTCCCATGGCTAAAACCTTTAAAAATGTCTGTAAATATTCAAGATAGAAAACATGTTAAGCAGTGGTAATTTACAACGAATCGATTAAAATTTTGTATACTACAATAAGTAATGCAATCCGTTGATGTTATAGATAGCCAAAAAAAATACACAAAGGAAGATTCGCAATCAAATATTTTGGAAGGTTACGGATAAAAAAAAAAGGAAAACGATTTGAATATTGAATGTTTGTGAAGGTATTAAAAGCAAGGCCACTGAGGTCTTGGTCTCAGTAGCAGGGAATTCTGAATCCAAAACTATCTTTACTGTACTATTAAAAGTTTTTATCTCACTCTTTTCCTTGAAGTATCTCTTTTAATGAGACATAGAAAGGAAAGACCTTTCGTTTATAAAGAGTAAGTTACTTGTGAAATATTACTTTACACGTAATCCAAATGAAATAGTATACGAAATATAATTACCTCTAATAAAAGTATGGTTAGAATAACAAAACTTCCTAAATGAAAGGCATGTGTCAATTCGTGCAGAATGTGATGAGTATAAATTTTATGTGAGTCTTTAAAAGTGTGTTTATGATTTCCACCAGAGCCTCGTTTGTGTAGATGATGATGATGGTTGTCATGGTGATGACCTTTATGAAGCCGTTTTTCTACTTCCGCTGCAAATTTATTTTGAATACGGGTAATTTCAGGTCCTTGTACTTCCTGAAAACAGTCTCTTAGAATGACAAGTATTGACTCAAACTCAGCCTCATCGTATCCAGATCTATTGAATCTTCCCGGAAATAAATCGAATATAATTTTTTTTGCTTCACTCTCCATTAACTGCTTTTCATGAAGTTCATCTGTAAATGCAACGATAACACATATGAAAAATTCTTCGACAATAGGTATAAAATCAAATGATAGGAAATTGCGAAATGTTACGCTGTAATTATATATATGTGTAGGAAAAATGCATGCAAGAAATATTTCTACAATCTTCTTTTGTATTTAAAGATAAACCTGCACTGCAATTTGTTCTATAGGTATTAAGTAATTATCTTTACAATTTAGTAAACAAAATATATTGCTGACCTATTTAGTTTTAGAATGATTTTATTTGATCATGGCTTCAAATAGGACCAAGCAAAAGTTTTACCAACTTATGAAGTCTTCTCCTATATAGACTATGATATCAATATAGCATTATATTGAACAGGCGCATATGAAATTATTGAATCATTAGTCTTATACATCCTTGGCTTTCAAATGGTTGGGTTGGGCGCTCCTTATGTGGGTAATTCCAGAAAAGTGCTTCGGTCGTTGAACGAAATTAGTGAAGTGTTATTGTCATTAACTTGAGCACAAATAAACGTTTAAAAATAACTGCAGTTTTGTGATTTTAAAAATAAGATGACGACAGGTAAATTGTGAAACTAGGACGCTAAAGATAGTTATGAAATTAGAAAATATAAGTCGGAGACCTTTCAGTATAAAGGTATATAAAACTGGCATAAAATGAACAACTGTCTTGAAATCTTTGTGTCGTTTAGTTGCTATCTCAGTGGCGTATATGCACATCTCCTTTTATAAGGGTGTGGATGGGGGTTTACAGAATAGAGAAGAATGAGCAAAAAATGTAAACAAAAGAGAAAAATGGACCAAAAAAATAAAGAATAGAGAATAATGAGGTGATAAAATATGAAGAATAAAGAATTATGAGGAAAACGTATAAAGAATAGAGAAAAATGGCCTAGAAATTTAAAGAATACAGAAATGAAGGACCTCCATCCAGACCCTCTTTTATTCATAGTGCATACTTTTGGGTTTCTTACAACAACAAAAATCATGTAAAAATCAAAACACATTTTAACATTTCTACGAAAGAAGACTTCTATATGATGGTGTTACGTCAAACTTTGTAATGTGTCTCGCTTCAATACACATATAGATGTTCTTATTAATGTATATCAGATCATGGGTATGACTTTTTCGCCTTTTTTGTTATAAAAACGACATAAATTGATCGATCCTTGTATCAGCTGTCAAGAAGAAAATAAGTCATTCTTGTAAAGAAGACGAAAAATAGTAGATGATTGACAGTTTAATTGTGATGTATTTCACTTGTAATTTTACAGACATTACCTTTCATTATCAGAATATCCGATATGATTTGACCAATTACACATCCTGCGTCTAGAACAGCTAATGTACTTAATAAAATCAATGCTACATGTGTGTGGAGTAACGTTGACAGTCTCTTTTTTAACCTTAAATAAAAGCAAATGAAAATTAAAACAAATAAAAAAGTAAAATGTACAGTCAAACCTCCTATACAGATCACCGCTTTTCAGCGAAAACCTGGCTTCGCAGAAAAAAGTAAAATAATAAAAATACCGAACTCCAAGAAAAATTCAAAACGGAAAGTCCCTTAACAAATGGTAAAATCAACAGCTCAACACATCAAACAAATGGAAAACAACTGTCATATTCCTGACTTGCAACAGGCATTTCCTTATGTAGTTGTACCTATCCATTGTCAATCTCAGATCAAAGATCACTTCTATTGTAAGGCTTGTAAGGTCAGTTTTCTCTGGTCCCAAAATTGACTTTTATACACAGGTTTGACTGTATATCAATATTTAAAACGTTATGGATTCACATTTAAAATAGAGATAATGATACAAATATGGAACTAAGTAGGGAATAACAGGGCTCAAATATTACAACCCTGAAGAATCAGTTTGTAAATTGGTGGAACAATGACAATGGTTTTGGTTGCAGTTCAGCAGCACAAATCAGCTATAATAATTTCGAAATATCAATGTTTGTCTTTATATCCGTTACTTATGTATTGGTAATACTTCTATTTAGTCTTTTTAGGTTTTTGTTGAATGTCTAATTCGTATAATTCGCACAAGGTGTATTCAATATAGAAATGTATATACACGAGTAAGCAAACTAGAACAAAACTGTATTCGGTAGATTGAAATTCTTGATCTTTAATTCAAAACAATTATTAATTGGTTGAAACAACCATGTCGTGTCGATATAACATTTTATGATACGACTGTGTGTAATTTGACAAATTTTACTAATTCGGGGAGTCTGATTTAAACCCCGGTTTTTGATTGGGTTCGTGATCAATATTTAACTTTGTGTGTAATGTTTATTTATTTGTTGTTCGTTTCTATTTTGGCCCTGTTGCTGTCTGTTTTTTATTGGCCTCATATTTTTTTATTGCACCTGTGTTATCTTCTCTGTCTTTTTACACGAATCACAGGCGCGAAGTCTGTTAGACATACGCGTTTGCCCTTTTATTTCTTTAAACTTATTTTCTTATATTTGTATGAAATGAAATTAATATAACACATTTTCAGACGATCAAAATATTTTAACAAGATTTGGCATTTAATTTAGCCAAATGCGAAAACAAAAAATATATAAGATGTAGACAAACCGTAAATAAACAAAACTACAGGAAAAGCTTTTAAAAAGTGTTCATACTTTATTTTCGCCGAAAATTATATAGAAGTTAAGATTCTATGCATACTTATTGTCAACTGAAACGTTTATCATGTGCATTTTATTGTCTTTATTTGAATAATGAGTAATGGCCAGCTCGTATACAGATAGGTATGTTTATATGTGACAAGCTAAATCCAATAAAATGCCCAGCTGTATGACATGACTTGTCCTCGTGAGGTATTTAATAGGACATAGGACCGTATTTGTAAAAAAGTAACATATCTAGATGACTGCATGGATCTTCCGGCAGGACAATGATATATGTTGCCGTACAATTATTGCTAGCCGCCTTAAAATGTATGTTACTAGGAGATCATTACCCACCTGCAGCTGAAAAGTATACAATTGCAATCACGTAGACAAAAAAAAAAACCTCGCGTATATCAATTTTATATTGTTTTAAATCATACAAGGAAAACACCCACAAGTATTTTGATAAGGATGTAATGGCAATACAATGACTTTAAAACACTTGTACTTTAACCTCTGTTGTAATTTGCAGTCACAGTATATAGAGTATCAACAAGATGTTACTTAAATTTAATTAGTTTAATCCTGATCATAGAACAGACAAAAAATTGTACTTCCGTGTGAATAAGCATGATTACACATTAAGAATGTTTAAAACATACTCATTTCAAAAATTTCAAATTAAAATTCTTTATTAACTGTTTTTTTTAAACAGGAAATATTGTGAGATACACTTTCTAAAATGAATCATATCTTGATTATGTTACTGCAGACAAGTTACTTGTAAAATGCAATTATATTCACATCGTTAGGTAAAATATATGTTCGGTTTAGTAATTATGTATTTTGGAGAATATAGCATACGTGTTGGATGAACACGAAACCGCTATCTCATGAAATTTATAAAAATAACCAATATACCAATGACCTAAAATTTTTATTGCTGATGTTCAATTTGTAACGTTTCTGGAATGTCTTAAAAGGTAAACGTAGCTTATATCGCATAGCAAAACCATGCAATCACCTTTTTATGACTGATTTGAAATCCAACCAATATTTTGTAAAGGATATTGTGTTATACTTCAAATTGGTTTTGTGTTAGATTGTTTACTTTATCAGGCATTCCAAATTATTTACTAAGAAGAATATAAATTTTTAATAGGTAGTTTTGTAAATAAGACTTTTAATCTTAAATAACGTTATTCAGTTTTAAAAGTCAAAGGTTTTCATTTGTATGACATTTACTATCAATATGCATACAGGGACATATTCAATTAACTTTTTATAATGACTCACATATATAAAATAAGAATATGTGGTTTGATTGCCAATAAGAAAACTATTCATCAGAGTCCTAATACAGTGGATTTAGTAAGCTTTAAAAGGCCCCGCGACAAGTTTTTTACATGTTAATTTGAAAAAAAAAAAAATGTTGTCTTGTCTTTGTTGTTGTTAGGTCGTTCTGTAACTAATTCCTACTTCTCCTATTTTCTCCAACTTTTTAAAACATATTCCAGAAACATTATATATGTCAAAATATTTACATAAGTGCAATCCCAGAATTCTGTCTTGATATAGATTAATATATACTTAGTGATACCAGTTTAGCGAAGGAAGGTTGACGTTGATTTATGGATTAGTTTCATTGCGCTACAAGGTCTGTTTATTAATGCTTCTCTGTGTCTAATACTGACGGCTGCATTAATATAACTATATATTAAGAAAATAAGTCGTCCATCTTATATAATACAGGAATACACAACTTATTAAAATTCTTATCATGTCAAGGACCGCATACATGGTAATTTTTCATTCATATTGTATGAATTATGATATCAAAAAGTCATTGATAATATTTCCTGGTGGTATTTTTGTAACAGTATTGCCAGAATAACGTTGATCAGCTGATTTAGTTACAAAATTAATTTGTCATTCGTATAGCTTGAAATGTAAAAGTGGTAAATTATATATGACATCCTTCAGTTTTCCTTTATTATTCGTAAATGTTTTCTTAAAACAATTTGTGTTTATTATCTAAAATGCAAGTAAATTCAATCGTATGAAATGTTTTCGTGTTTTTTCCAGATGCAATTTGTTCAGATTAACGATTTTCAATTATCAGATAGATGCGTGTAACAGGCGGATATTATTATTATTATTTTAGAAAGGTGTGATATTTAGCGTGCAATTTGTTTTAAAGATATTAATAGTATTGATAAGTAAGGTGAATCAGGCAATCTTAAACTCATTTGTGTGTAATAATCATAAGCATATTAGTTCAGCAAGGATGTCCTATCTGCCGTTTCATTTTTTTCAATTTACAAGGCTTAGCGAAATAATAATCGACAAATGAATTTTAAACTTTCAAACATTTCTTCGTGTATACATGAGGCATTTAATCTTAAATATTAACTAATATCTTTATAAAACAGAATTGAATACATTATGTAATTTTTATATTATCCCGATAAGGAAAAAAGAAAAGAATGGTGGAAGAAAAAAGAAGAAAGAAACATACCTGTGACGATTGTTTGGTTTTCGTCTACCTGGTAAACAATTATTATTATTTTCCGAAGTGCGTGGTATCATATTTCCAGAAGTATTATTTTTTAATCAAGTAACTACGATTGATAGTATAATTTAATCCAATAGAACTTATCAATTAATTTTTATATTAAATCACTAAGTTAGCAAAACTAGTTTTTGTATAGTCCACATCACATAAATGAAAAGATAAAAAGATGGAGAGAAAAACTCATGTCATCCACTTTAAGGAAACTCAGCAAATGCAATTTGACAAAGTAGCTCCGAACAGGTAAACACAGGTAGAAACATATAGGTGAGCTGTTGTTTCACCTGGATCACTTAATGAGACACACACACTGTAGACATTACCATATAAATGAACGAACCTAGCAATATATATACCCCCTGTTTTTGTAGGTTGTCATCTTTGCCGCTCTTGACGAATAAAAAATATGACATGTCATTATTTAGACAAGTTGTCATATTTTATTGCAATGGGGCTCGATATTTGTTAGTTCTCGCCATAATGATTCTCAATGATTGTTATTACAATACGTTATTGTATTGGCATCTGTCGATTTTGCCAATTTTATTGCTTAATACATGTTTCTGACGTAACATATGCAATACCTAAATTACAAGGAAATAGATTGCTCTACTTGTCTAGATGAGCGCTTGCATATTTAAACTGAACCGACACTTAAGACAAAAAGAATCATGTTTTCATACATGACTTCAACTGTGAAGAAATTATACTTTAATTTTAAGGCTAGACATTTATATAACTACAAAGAAAAAGGTGTTTGAGTTAAGGAAAATAGAAGCTGATTCATCATGTTCATCTTGTTGTATATTAATTATTTCAGAATTATATTCTATTTTGTTTTCATAACATGAAATTTTATTTAAAAAGTTAAATTATACAGGTAAAAAAAGTATTAACAAAAATACCAAGGTTGGTTCAAAAAGGGGGAAAGCAATAAAACCTGGCAAAATCAAACGCTAAACTATATCAACCAACGAAACGAATGGAAAACTAAGTATATATTCCTGACTTGGTATAGGTTCTGAAAATGCCGGGTCCAAATGGCTGTGTTCTTGCAGGAAATAATAGTATTATGACCGACAGGTGAACGAAACTTTCAATCATCATTTTAAATATGAAAAAAGCACTAAACGGAAATCTAAAAACAAAATAAATAAACATTTGAAGTGCTTTTAAAAATATGAAGGCTATTTTTATTTAGTTTTATTTGTATTCTTATATACAATGTTTTTAATCAAATTTTGCAAGGAGAATATTAATGAAATGTTATATTTCTTCGGACGTTAAGTTTTAATTTTTTTTTAGCAACCATGAAATAATAGAAAATCACCACTACTGGGATGGAACAAACATTTGATATGTATAATAATTGGCTTGCCGAGCTTTCTTTCCGTTTTCGATGAAGCTGCTAAGTGCAAATAATGATACATGAATAATATTATATATTCGACAAATGTAAAACTATTGTTCATATCTTGTATTGCTGAATAAGCATTGATTGGACTGATTATTTCAAACGCATTATTGATTTAAAGATTTATCCACACTAACTAGAACTACCCCCTTAATGAACAGTTTAGTTTGCATTTAAAAAAAAAACCGTAATAACCTATCGTTTTTTATGACCATAATGCCAGTACGCGTCAAATCGTATTTCTTAACAGTTGTATAGACTTTGCTAAACAATTGATTTTTAAAGGGAGAAAAAAATGATTGCATTTTTGTATCCATTATTTTTAAAAACGATAACGTTAAGAATATACCATATAAGAATACTGATAATGTTATACAGATGATATGGACTTTGGCTAGAGCTTAAATGTGTATTTTGTACAATATCATTGTTTCCACTTTTGTTCTGTTGGTGACTGCAACGTGTGATTTGATTTGACTTTTGAAAAGTCAGCTCCTACACTAAGGTTTAACCCCTTCTTTCAACAACGCTTACATTTTTATCAGGCAAACAAATTAGAAAAGGTATTCAAAATGATGTAAATAATTATAAAGTTATGAAATAAATGAATATAAATTTGAAGAATTAATGAAAAAAAAACAACAAACAAGCGGATAAATAAAGGCAATAGTAGTATACAGCTGTTCAATAGTCATAAATCGATTTAACTGAAACAATCCGGATCACAAACCAAAACCGAGGAAAACACATCAACTATAAGAGGAAACAAGAGGATAAGCGCTAAAAACACAGAGTTGTCTTTGTATATTTGGCTCAAGTCTACATATATACAGACAGGTACATCAAACGTTCCTTCTATAAATAAAAACTATTCTATTTTTAAAGAGTAATAAATTAGAAATATACTACCTTTTAATTTGACTATGTGTCAATAGGCCAGCGACATGATTATACTTTTACATTAATTGTCCTTTACAGAGGTCGAAATGAATACATTAATCGATGAGACGTCCACTTTTTAGAATTTGAGAATTATGTTAAAGGTTGTTTTGTGAAATATGATATCAAATATGTCATCTATACTGATATCTTTGGCAATGGAAAAGTCACCAAACATACTGGTTTATAATATGGTTCGCCTAACGTTTATTTAAAAAAAGACCAAAACCATTAGCCAGAGTTATCCTTTTTATTTTTTTTTTGCATCGCACCCGTAAGTTCGACATCTCCATTTCGATCATTGACGTATCTCAACATTACCGTCTTAGTTGCAACTAATCAATCAAAAGGAACCGTAAAATACAAGTTAGTTTTAATTTTAGAGCATTGTATATTAAAAAAATAGTTACCAATTTTGTTATTTGAAAGAGATGTATTTTATATGATACGATGTACCTTTGATACAAACTCCATCCACTCTCTATCTCACATTGTGTCTCATATAGACATTATTGAACCCGGTTCAATCAACGCCAACTATCAGAGGGTGTTTCGCTATATACTATCTCCTGGTTTATCATTATGAAATGGTATTCGTTGAAACTTCCTGTTTCAGGTTCTGATTAAATAAAAAAAAAAAAAATAAATACCAAAATACTAACATCGAAATTTGAAATAATAAATATAAGTTTAAGGTAACACCATGGCCAATGAAGGAATGTAAAAAACAGTAACAATTATTCATATAACAACACGCACACACACAGGAAAAAGTATTGATAAAGAACCTAAATTTTAATCAATTTATACCAATTTTTGTTCATTCTTCCTAAGACATGTCATTAAACGGCACCCCAATAATAGCGACTGACGTCAGTTTGCTACAAAACAAGGTTAAACCGGAAAAAATGTAAAACATAATAGGTCTTTTCAAATATAACTTAAGGACTTCCCCTCTTTGAATTTTCCTTGGAGTTCGGTATTTTGTTTTACTTTTTTGCAACTTCACACTTCGAAAAAAATTCTTCAAACCTTAAATTGCCCCCCCCCCCCCCCCCCCCTAAAAAACCCAAAACAAATATTGTTGGTTTCTCTAAAACTCTTCTATTATTTTGGCTTTTTAATTATACTGTTAAATTTGATATAACTTAGTACATTTTGATATAACGCTTGTGTCAGAGTGTATGCTGTCAATTGCATCCATCAATTATTTTGATTTAATAACTGTCAAATTATATACCAAGTACATGAAATTAAATTGTTTAAATTCAATCTTTTTTTAATATTCTATGATTGATTAACAAATAAAGTTGTTACGGTTCACAAAAACAGGTTGTTAAAGGAATAAGAGAAACATCGGTGTCAAAAGAGCATTTTTTGTATGTTGTGATAAATGATGACACATGTTACTGTATTTTAGAATTATTAAATTTCGATACATTTTAATTTGCATTTCTTTGGATAAAAACTGACGATTTAGTCATCAAATTGATTTTCTACAACAACATTTGTCAGAGCGATGTCTAGTGTTCATAAGGCAAACGTATGCTTATAATTTCTTGTATAAATAGATTGATATAATCTATATATAAATGTCACAAGCATGTAAAAAGTATATTAACAAATTGCATTTTTGTTTATTACCAACTATTTATAAATTTGATTATACAATCATAAAGGTTGCAACTCCCTCAGGAAAAGTTGACTTCAGACGGTTTTGACTGTTCTGGCCTCTTTTCTATCAAACGTTGAATGTGTTATTTAATACCCAATTTTCCTGTAGTTACGTATACTGTTGTTTAACAGCTGTATAAACTATTCAATACACTATGGAATTGTTTTATGAAATGGTTCCCGCTCCGACCGTTTTAATGCAAGACAAAAAAAAAAAAAAAGGAAATATGAATTTTTACTCATTACCAAAAAGCTATAATTATAGTAAAGTGAATATTCAATAAAGCTTATAACTTCTAATAAGACCTTTAGCAACACCAAATATATGACATGCTATTTCCATTATAAACATAATATTTTCCTTGACGACAGTATTCAACCAAAAGCTGTAGCTACCATACCTAGCTTGCAGAAGCGGCGGGCACATTATGAGCCGTTTTTTATTTCCTTGTGCAAGTTAGTGGTCATCCTGCTAGTAACTGCGCTTTGCAGGTTCTTCCTTTTATGTTTTACCATTAATTTAAGTCTAATGGTTAAGATGGACGAAGGGAGAGATATGTGCGCACGAAGAACTTGTTTAACCCAACATCAGGTTGTTCATATATACCGAAGTATAAAGCACGCGTTTTTTCTTTGTTGGTTGTCTTTGTTTTTATCTCTATTTTTCGGAGGAGTCGAGTGTTTGTTATTTTATTTCTGTTCTTTTTTTTTATTCCTTAACAAAGCAATATAATGAGTATAGTTAAATTCTACGAATTCTAGTCTTTTAGTTAAGTAAATAAGTCCTAAGAGCGAATGTTATACAACTGAACATGTAGTTCTACATTTATATTTGAAGTGTATTTCACTTTTTTTTGTTTCTGTTCTTTGACTATCTGCACCTTATAATTTGTTACTTGTAATGCATAACAAAATTGTTTTTTGTTAGTTTTCAAACCTTGACTCTTTGTTTTGCTTGAATATTTTCTATATTTACATTTTACCCTGTCTCGCTTCCTATGGTTTAGTTTGGTTACCTTGATTTGTAAATAATGTTTTTTTGAGATTTAAACATCAGAAAACTACAGTTGCCTGTAGTTTGCAACTGCAATGGTATTCACAGCGTTGATAATTGCTTAGACGAATTTTTTAAAAGATTTTCACAAATATATAATACAATAGCATGTATAAATAAATTGATTGATTGATTGTTTGTGTTTTAACGCCACTTTTAAGCGCCACATTTGGGCTATTTCGTGGCGGCCAGTTTTTATTGGTGAAGGAAGCCGGAACGCCCGGAGAAAACCACCGACCTTCGATAGGAAAACTGACAATCCTAGTCAATTAAGATTGGAGTCGAGTGCACCTGCACGAGCGGGGTTCGAACTCACCACCTCAGTGTTGACTGGCTAGTGATTACAGTAGAACTACTTAGACCACTTGGCCAACGAGGCCCCTGTATAAATAAAAAGCTGCATTGTAGGCTGAATCTTTCATATACTTGCAACTACCCTTTAGACGAACCAGTCTCACTCCTTTAGGGACTTTCCTTTTTGAATTTTCCTCGGAGTTCAGTATTTTTGTGATTTTACTTGTTTTTGTAGGCTTGAATCATTTTTTTGTATTTGCAACTGACTCTGTCGACGCATCTGAACTCGTGTCGATCATCGAAAATAAATGTAAGATTCAAATATATTTCTAGCTTCAAATCGGTGTCCTATAATCAAATCTGTGTCCTTTAGTCAAATCTGTGTCCTTTAATCAAATCTTTGTTCTTTAATCAAATTCATGTCCTAACATCTATTGCATCGTAGACATCATAGACATATGTTTTTTTTATTTCCTACAATGTGTGTCCTTTTCTAATGCGTGTTAAACAGTGTAGTTCGCGGTTTAAATTTCTTGAAATTATTTTTTAAACATATATTTTATCTTTCACTTCCGTACGATAGTTTATTATACTTGATATAAAACCGATGTTAGAACAAAAGTGAGAAAATCCGTGTTTCCTGAAATTTTTTAAAGTTAGAAAGAAATGCATGTAGGGTGTAAAAAATTCCTTAGTATCAAGGAATTATTTATTTTTATGAAAATTAAAGAAAATATTTTGATACCAATCGTACTATTGAAAGCAAAATATTATAAGTTAAAAAGTAAGAATTCTAAAACTTAATTTTTTCATTATATAGACATATAAGTCATAAAATGGAGTGTAGTCCTTCTTCAAAATTCCCTTTAAAAGTTGCCTGCAAACTTTTTGGTTCTCTGAGAGATGCCTTGTGGGATACAACAGCTGAACATGACTTTTATGTCATTGCACGGCCTACTATGATTATTATAGGAACTGATACCATTTAGTTATATGTAAATAGCCCAAAGAAAGGTTGCAGAACTTAACACAGATCAATAAATTAGTTTTTTGAGATTTCAGAACTGTTACTACACTTTTCTTTATATTTGACAAGTAGGTAACGAAGCCGTGATGGCAAATGGTAAAATATATTTCGCAATGAAACCAAAGGGCTCCGGCTCAGGTAAGAGAACCTTGATGTCACATTAGAAGTCATACTTATAAAACAAATTTGAACGAACAAATAGACACACTTTAAATTCATGAAGTCAAGTCATGCTGTGCATGTCGGGTCCTTTTCTAGTAGACTATACGGGATGGGGTTTTCTCATTGTTGAAGGCCGTACGGTTGCCTATAATTGCTTACATCCATTTCATTTGAACTTTGGTGGATAGTTGTCTCATTGGCAATCATATTTACATCACCTTTTTTTTATATAATTATGTACTGATTTTGTGTCATGGATGGATACCACATATTCTTTGTTTTTCTATTATAGATTTGACTACTATACATAAACTAAAAAAATAATTCACATTTATAAAATTTAGGTGTCAAGTTTAACGAAAAATCATGTGCACAATTTTGTCAGATAGTATTTTATATTTTTATTCAATAAATGTTAAAACATTTGACAAAAAAGGAAATAACAAGAATAACATAAACTATTAAACAGTACAGCATACTATAGCAAACATTTATTTCCCTATCGTAGATTGGCACAAGTAAGCGATGAGTAACAATATACCATAAAAACATTACAGATCTTACATTTCTTACATCATATCATGAGTAGCTTTTGATATTCCCAAGTGCAAAATTTCAGTAAGAACAACAAAGAAATATTATTAATTGTTTACAAAAACTTTTAATATTTCGTAATATTAAGGATTTCCTACCCCAGGAATAGATTACCTTGGCTGTATTTGGCAAAACCTTTCGAAATTTTGGGTCATCGATGCTCTTCAACTTCGCACTTTATTTGACCTTTTAAACTTTTTTTATTAGAGCGTCACGAGCATCTGGCGAACAAAATGCTATGATGCATTTTAAATAATATCGAATGGAGAAAAGGCAAAATAAAAATTATTTGGGTGAACACAAGCCTGAATCTTAACGGAAAACTAAAATTTTTTGACAGAATAAAAAAAAACCCTTAAAAACAACGAAGAAAAGGAATAAAAGAACGCAAACCACAAAGTAAACCAAGCTTTCAACTACTGAAATATTATACAGCTGTAGTTGTTCATAATTGTGTCACCTGAGTGGAGTAAACAACCAATAAGTTGTTTAAAACGGTCATTTATTGTGTTAAATCTCCAAATAATTAATTACATTTCATGTAAAAACAATTTCGTATATTTTGTGGTAATGATATAGCGCATCTATATTATACGTATTTATATAGTTGCGCATAATTAAAAAAAGTAGGGAATTACCCAAATTATAATGACCTCTAATAAGGTCAAATAATACTTTTATTAGTAATGATTTTTTTTTATTGCTTTTGTATTTTATATGTCAGGCTGATCAGTTGTCATTTACCCAATATCAAATAGTAGACTCAAATGATAAATCACACATTCTTATTATAGATATTGACATTTTTATTTTTTTACACTATAAAATAAATAAAGTAATCAAACATATTTATTTATTGAAATCTCCCTTGCTTGCATACATTTGATTCGGGGACTGAAATGATATAATGATTTTCAGAATTTAAGGGGTATTACAAGAAATAGCATAGGACTTAATGTAAAATAATTACAAACTAATGGATTAATTAATTTTTATACCATTGGATGTAACAAATAATATTTAAATCTAAATAAAGTATATCAATTCATTACGTTTCTATTGCTGTTCCCCATCTTAAAAGTCACAGTAAGGCCTTCACCAGCGTGCATAATTCACAACTCTCTGCAAGTACAAAAAACGGTTTATAGATATAAATAATTATGTGTATTGTAAAAATGAACAAACAAAGGGTAACATCAACGAATAACTGACTACCTACTAAATACTTTCATAATTTAAATGACAATTTAATTTTACTGTTAATACAGAAAAAAAAATATTTAGACAAACTCGATGGAAATCACAATAGTGGTTTGGATAATTTGACAGGAAATATAATATGAATAATGTCTCTTCCAAAAAATTATAATCTAACTCGATTGCCAGCAAAACCTTATGATTGTTTGGAACATATAACTGACAGGAAATGTGGTTCGAACACTCAGTCTGTATGCGCCAATACACGTTTGCTGTCATTTCACCAAAACGCTATGATGGAAAAAAACAATATTTCCGAATAAGAAAAAAAAAACGTTACAAAGACATTGCAATTAAATTAAAATTTTAAAGATTTTTACGAAACAACTATAACTATATTGAAAACGCAAAGTAAGGTTTGCATCGATCATAGAGCATAACATTCAAGTTCTTAATTTAGAAATATTTTCTCGGGAAATGCCGGTACCAATTCAGGAATATGACAGTTGTATTCCACTCTTGTTTTTTTGGTTGAAAACCTTTAATTTGTCAGTTTTTAAGGACTTCCCCTTTTTGAATTTGCGATAGAGTTAGGTATTTTTGTTTTACTTTTTCATTAAACAGCTTTTAATAAGTAAATAATGATTACAATGTTAAAGTCTAAGGTTATATGTACCTTCCGGGGACTAGATAGTTCATCTATAGTGATTACTAACCTGTCAAATAAGCGATTGCGTGTTTTAACCCCGCTCGATCTTTGTTGATCCCCAGTTTTCCTTCCTACGGACGGTGGTCCTGTACGGATGATCCGGCATCCTCCTCTAGTACTGAAATAACAAAGGACATTAAAAGTGGCTTTAAACACAAACAAACAATATGCATATGTGTATCTTCCCAATCTCGTTGTTTTTGTACAGTTAGGAGAGGGTGTGGGGGACATGTTAAGTGTTATTTCTGGTTATCTGCTGTTTAATATTGGCATTTATTATTTCTAAATTTATATCGGCAACCTCTTTTACCGTGACTAAACCATACAGAAAATCATACAGTATAGTGCAGAACAAAGTCTGCAAATTTATCACCAGTGGCTCCTTTATCAAAACAATTCGAAGCCTTAATTAGTTATTACGGTATTAAAGAGCGACTATTATTACATATTGGAGAGCATCTAAAACAAAGAAGCAAAATGTTGCGACAAGTCTGGCTAAAACGATAAATGCCTAGGGCTAGAAACATCTGACTGTTTCAAATGATGTTATCCTTTTTCAAACAGTGAATATACAGGAAATGACCGCATCAAATATATTTTATTTCAACAGTATTAGTAAAGCTGACTACTACGCTGGTAATACTCTTGGGGACACAACATTCATCAAAGGTGGTTAAGACCAAGTGGTTTTAAAAATGACTAAGGCTTTCTATGCTTAGGGATCGATTTCAGCCCAAATGACACTTGTTTTTTTTCTGGAACGCTCAAATCCAAAGTTTTTGAAGTGCAGAAACATATAACGTTTTAAAGCATATAATATAAGTCCATTACTTAAAATTGCATTTTTGTAATATCGATATTAGTTTGACATCGTTGATAATTTCATGACACCAATCAACATAACGTTTAATATCCTTGTTACAGACTGCAAAAAAAGGACACCATTTCTCCTGGAATAAAATATGAACGAATATCAAAGCAAAAAGGCATATTTACATGAAAACCCTTCTATAGAAAGATCTTTATACTTTAAATTCAAATTTGGAGAAATGATCGTATGTGTACCCGTCATCAAACTGTTACTGCTAGTGAATTGAAATTTCAATTATATATAACAAGTACCATGTAAATTATATTAATATAAAATTCACTTAAAATCCACAGGTATATATATAAAGAGGAATGTAATAATAATAAATGAACTCATCATAGGTACCAGCATTAAATTTTTGTACGCGTTTTGTTTACACAAGTATCATCAGTAACGCTCGAATAAATAAAAGTTAAAAACGCCAAATAAATTACGAAGTTGGAGAGCACTGAGGAACCAAAATTCCGAAAGTGTTTTCCAAATACAGCTAAGGTAATCTTTTCCAGGGTAGAAAATCCTTAGTATTTCGAAAATTTAAAATTTTGTTAACAGTTGCTTTATAACTATGACCATGTCAATGATATTTTTTTGTCAACACAAACTAACTTCTTGGCTGGTGATACCTTCGGGGAGGAAACCTACACCAACAGTGACGCTCGAATAAAAAAAAGGTAAAAACGTCACACAAAGTACAAAGTTGAAAAGCATTGAGAACCCAAAATTCCGAAAGGTTTTTCCAAATACAACTAAGGTAATCTATTCCTTGGTGAAAAATTAAAACCATCTATACCAATAAGAAAAAAGTAAAATAACAAACATACCGAACTCCAAGGAAAAATTCAAAACAGATACGAAAAAGCTCAAGCACATCAAACGAATGGAAAACCACTGTGATATTCCTGGATTTATAGCTAGCTACAATGTAAACCTCCCATTTGTATGACAGCCGAATAGAATTGAAAACAATATGTGAGCAAAACAAAGAGATATAATAGGTCAAAAATGTCACAAATTGGAGTACAGCAGTCAACATTGTGTTATAATCTTAACCGCTATCAGAAAACAACTATGTTAACAAAGAAAAAATAGCATATAGATAAAGCACATAAGCAAAAATGAAAGACAAGAATACAAAAAATGACCATAGCACAATAAAACAATTGCAGGATGTATGAATACCAAGCCACGTCAAAAGGATATTACCAAAAATGGACTGAACAGTCAAGTTTAAAAATATACAAAGACAAACAAGAAGAACACTTTAACTTTAATTAAGATGATAAACAACGTCATAACCTAGAATATGTACTTCAAGACCTTCGTGTATTATTTGTGAAGTTGATACGAAATATTTATCAACAAGGTCTTGGTATCTTCCGATGAATTGTGTTTTAGAAAAAGGAAGAGACGTTCTTTGACATAAACCTGGTTTATCAACTTTCTGTCAAGAAACTGGTGAGATAAAGCAGCTGCAACCTCTTGAATACCGAATGAGTTGGGAAATGTATATCCCATGTGCAGGTGAAGTTTTAAAGAACATTCGTATTTTAAGAGCAAAATTATACAGAAGTATTTGGTAAAACCCGAGACATACGACATTACCATTAACATTTTCGATTGATAATCGACATGTGAATCTATGAAAATTTGAGCTTGTGCGCAGTAAGTGGAAATAAAAAAAACACGTTTACGATAAGACAGTGCCTGATGCATATGGTTACCATAACGGATCTATAACAACTGTCATACATGTGGGAGGTTTATTTACCTATAAAGCCAAGTTTAACCCACCATTTTCTTCGGAAAATGTCTGTATTAAGTCAGGAATATGACACTTGTTTTTCACTCGTTCCATTGGTTAATAACGTTTGATTTTATCAGTTTGTATGGACGTCCCCTTTTAAACTGAACTTTGGGGCTCCTTATTTGTGTTATACTTTATAATGCGACTTGTGAAAATAGAACCGTACGTGAAATACATTCAAAATTTAAAGAAACCATTTTAGAAAGTAAAATACAAAAATTGTATCGATTTAGGATCATACTTATTCTAAAAAAAAAGAACAGGATAATGACCTCTTTTCTCTACTAAATTGCAGGATTTTTAAAAATCAAGGCAGTCCCTCATTTAAACTATTTCTACAAATTGTTTTTTTGTTAAGTGACATCATCAGGTAGACAAGACAGATTTAGAGTCTGAAGTAAAACGATTGTCATCAATTGGTATTGATTTATTTTTATATTGTTTGCATTATAACATAAAAAGTTCAATGACATGTTATGTGATTTCGGCGAATGTTGCAGTTAAAAACACACATGTTTTGTAATTTGACTTTGATTTTATAATTTTGTGAGGCGTTAAAATGCCTTTCTATTAATATACATTTTATACATTGTAATTTAAATGATACAGGATCTGTCTAATGAACCGTTGTTATACCTTATTACGACACAAGTATCTTGTATACTGAGTATAAAAAGTCCATCACAAAAAACTAATAATTTTGACAGTACTGATTCGTTTTGGTGAACTGTAACTTTAAAAACTAGACCGTGCTTTGATTTTGTTTGCAGTATATAATCTGCCCTGAAATAGCTCTTAGTAGATTTCAAAGGAGTCGCAGTGAAATATGCCTCTGTAGATGATGGATATAGTCGTTGTCGTAAACAACTCTCTATCGGGCCATTCTATTTTTAGAATATGGCATTCAAGTTTTTACAATTATCATTTCCCTGAAAATCTATAGATTTAGATTCATATATAAAACTCGAGTTTAGCAACTAATCCTTACCTTAAATAGACATTTTAGCCATAAGTCGAAATCCATATCAAAACTTAGGTTAGTGGAGTTAGTTAAATAAACCAGACCAATACAAGTTAAGGCAAACATTTGTATATCATGATCAGTGGATAAAAGTGATGAGTCAGTTTTGAATCCAACGAAGAGGATTGGAAAACTTTTGTGTGCTTTTGTCAAAATATTTTTTAACAGTTTGTTATATACATTTAATAGAAAAACAAAGGATATGGGGTATCCATCCATGACGCAAAATCAGTACATCAGTACATGCACAGCTAAAAAAAACAAACACAATCAGCAAAGAAACAGCGCTTTTATTGCTGTTCTTCATCTAAAAGTCACTTTATTTTCATTCTTCACCCACCTCCCTTTGTATTTTCTTTTCACTGCGAGAAGTTTTGTTGTCCCTCTGGAGGTGCTAAGTATGGGAACAAATGGGATTTCTTGTTAATATACGTTCTCTACTACTAAGCAAATTATATCATAGTTTCAATTGTGATCTAACAAACTTTAATTCCAAAAATAAAGAATTCAATTATATACAGCTAGATGTCTTAACGCATTGTCATTGATTGTTTGTCAAGGAGCCTCTGTTTGTGCAAAAATATTTAACCCCGGTTAGTCATGTGTACTTTATAGATGAATATAAAGAGTTGTTAAGAGAAAGAAATTATAATGAGTTTTACTTTTTTTCCCAAACAACACCACATTGCACTTACTGTGGTTAATGTGAACCGTTCATAAAATAATAGGTTCTCTTTATACACACAGTCAAAACGATATTGCACCTCTTGCAGCTCTTTTCCTTATCATACTTCATAATTAATGAACACCATAAATGAATTTGTATCAACATCTTAAAATATATATTGCACTAATATATTCAGTAGCGGTTGAATTAATCTTCACTATTTGAATATATTCATGTGAATTGATTTTTCAAGTAATAATTTATCTAATATTTTCAGATTTGAAACACTGTAATATAATATACGAATTGAGGTCATTAAAACTAATAATCATATACTTCAACTTCGTACTTTATTTTGGCTTTTTGACTTTTTTCACAAATGAGTGTTGTAGAAGAAAGAGGAAAAATCTTATTCTGTATTATAAGCATTATTATAACTTCATACGTGTTAACACAGTGTCCTATGTTAGCATTCCTTCAAACGATTTCATAAGGAACAGATAAAATTGAGCAGCAAACAAACCGAACTTTTACTGACGCAAAGTTATGACAAAAAATGACCCGTGACGTAGATCGAAATGAGATAGAAAGGAAAGAATGAATCAAAAGTACGCACGGGATGGAGTAGTTTGTGGGAGGAACATGGAAGGTACATGTAGGTGAATGTGACTTGAGGGGAAAAGACTTCATTTCATAATATGTAGTCATTGAAAATGTTATTGTATTTTTGGAACTGACATTCATTTTTCTGTATA